CCTAAGGGCAAATATGCTTTTTTTCCCCTTGTTGCGTGTAGCTGTTAGACAAATGTCTGACCATGTTTAGTTGATTCTGCTCCATTTTTCCACTTAAAATTTGCATAGTAGATTCTGTTCTCTTAATATATGTTTCAAAAATACCGTATTGAAGTGTAGAAATGTGTATGTTGTTGTCTGACTTAAAGCCTGAGCAGCTGAGCATGCTAAATAAAAAGCTCCTTTCACAGCAGCTATTTTGCGGGTATTATGCAAGATGTTCTGTGCTTTGATACAACAGCTCCTAAAAAAAGTGTATTTCAATATGAATTTCTAGTAACAATTTATGCACTTAGTCTGGTGAAACGTGTTGGGGGTGGGAAAGAGAGCAAGCTGTTGTGAACACCTATAAAGTACAGAAAACTTCTACTTTCCCTCTTTTCTAACAAGTGTAAACTATTGAGGTTAAGTAGGTGGGGCAACCGGAAGTAATTACTAAGGCCAGTGGCATTTTTGCGGTTTAATAAAGACAGAAGCTAATTATTCAGTTTTTATTTAAGTGAAATGATGCCAAAAAGGAGGTTCCTGCAGAGCAGCTGCACTCCTTCAGTGTTACCCTAATTTACCACAGACACAACTGTCACAAACAGAACTTTTAAACTTGATATATAGCCACGAAAGTAAGGAGCCCTTTGTCTGGAGTGTATGCAGAAGAACTCCTTTATACAAATCAACCGGCAGATGACGGACAATGATGAAAATTTGATTCTTTGAAGTCATAATGGTCATTGAAATGTGTGAAATTCTGGTATTGAAAAGAGAGCAGCTAGCAAGACTCTAAATCCTGGGTGGTTGCTGGAAGCTTGCTGGGAGGTTTTTCTGTGTTTTGACATCAACTTCCCATTGCTTGTTCCCTGTTTCCTTTATTTAAAAAAAAAAAAAAAGAGGTGGTGTGCTAAACAGTAGATAGTTGATAGTGGTTATCTACAGTTTTTGTCTATGCATGGAAACAAGTGTCATAGGAGGAACACCACACCTTTATGCACACCTGACCCACCTATTCAAAAACACTTGTTTCCAGAGATACGCTCAATCATTTAATCTCTTTCACTTGAATTACAGAGTTCCATTTCTTGTCCCCTTTGGAATTTGTGCTATTAGTGGAGTACTTAAAAGGAGAAAATTCTTGTTTCCTTTAAAAGTCATTTTTGTGCCTAATACTACTTTCAGTGACACTGCCTCTGTGAACCAGCTTTTCTCCATGCTGTATAGCACATTTATTGTTTCTTATTACTCTTTGCAGAACAGCTTTACCAGGCTTTTCACCATGACAGGTGTTCTTAAATAGTGGAAGTTATAATAAAGACAAAACCTCCTGTTCATTTGTAAGCAATTTGATATGATTTTTACTGTTCAAAAAATAGTGAGAGTTTTGTCCCTCTCAGCTTATTCCAAGAGCCAAAATGCCTCAAAATGAGCTTTTAAATGTTTTTAATTGCAAAAAAATTTAGAGGTTGCTCTTAAAAAAAGAATCTCCTCTATACGTATATTGAGAAAAACAGGATGATAGCCTGTGTTAAAGATGTGAAACACGATTGTTAATTTTTAGTAAAGCAAACCTATACAGTTCAAATCTCAAGTCTTTTATATTGTCACCTTATTATTTAGAATATTGAATGCTAAACACCTCACTGATATTTTAATATGCTAATATATAGCAAAATTCTGTGGGGAACACTTAGAAAAAAAAAGATAGTAACGTGAAGCCAGCTGTCAAAAACATCTTTGTTTTGGAAAGTTGGTTCACAGGTAGTTTCAATGAGAACTTGAACTCAGAACAAAGCACTGAAGACACAGTAAAGAGTTCAACCCAGTGCAGCATAGTTCTTTTCAAGTATTATATTGTTTTAATGGCATCTTGGAGCGGGAGCTTTAGCCCATTGAAATGTCGCTTAAAGGACAGGTTCTTCTGTCACTAGCTGGAGCTGTGTGGATGAAATGATCACAATAGAGTGTTGTAATGCATTTTAAAAGTGTGAGAAATCAGTTTGTCTAGACTAAGAGTGCGCCTACAGGGAATAGGAATTTTAGAGCTTCTGTGCTCTTTAGGTGTCAAGTATGTGATAGATGCTAAGCCTTTTTATTCCATATCTTTGGCAACAGCTCAGCTATGCTACAGTACCTTACATGTCTACAGCAAGCAAAAACAGTGATTTTATGTCAGGATGACTTGGGCTTCAGAAGCCAGAAACTCATTGTCCTAACAACTGTCTGTTCAATTGCCAGCTTTAAAATGGGGAAGATACCAATAAACAATTGCTAGATTCCCAGAAGGCATGGAAAGTTTAGCTATAATGAATCAAAGTATGAAGAGCTAGCAACATCATGTAGGTATTTTAGTTTCGGAAAGTAGGCAGGTTTTAGTTTTCACCTTGAAAAGATTTTTGTGGGACGAATCCCATGTTATAAGTGAAATAACTTTGATTTGGAGCCAACTAAATCCCCCAAAAAACATGGCTTGAAGGAGCTTATGGTTTGTCTGGGTTTTTGGTTTTACTTTCATCCAGTTGAACAAGTCTAGGCATTTCTTTACTATGGTTACCTCATAAATAAAGCATTTGCTGATTTTTAATACTGTTTTTAGATTGTGTTCTGTATGCACTAATGTATAGTACTTTTATGATTCTCTGGTGTGGAGATTTCAAACAAGGAAATTTTATAATTCCACAATGTTATTTAACATTGTATCTTGTTGTAATAATTCCACATAATTCTGGAACAATTCAAAAACCTCTAAATATGAAGCTTAAACTCATAATGTACTTAGGAGTTGCTGAGAATAATAATAGTAAAAAAAAACCCAAAACACGTCATTTTGAGTTGTTTTGAAGCTTGCGTATTTGGAGGTATTTGATGATAACAAACCCAGAATTTTAGCATGTAACAGACTATTTCAGAGGGGGAAAAGAAATTTTTTGTGAATATTCATATATTTTCTCAGTAGGCATGTTTGTTAAATACATAAATAAAGGCTAATATAGTAGCCTATTGCTATAAACAGGCAAGCTAAAACATTGAAGCCCCACCAAACTTTACTGCAGCTAAAAAAGCATTTTTGTTAAACAAAGCACTTTGCCAATTCAAATAAGAAAACTTTAAGCCATTTCCTTCTAAAACTGTGGTTTAAGCTTCAGCAGAAATGCCAGTCTGTCAGAAGGTGTTTTACTTTCGTGTTGCAACATTCCAGTGATTGGTAGCATTTCTTTTTCAAATCACTGCTAGACTCATATTAAAAATAAACATTACTTGGTCCTAATGAAAGCATTTGCAATGGAATTGTTAAGATATTTTGACAGTTTCTTTTGGTAGTCTGGGTAGAAATGTCAGAAGCTGGGAAATTAGTGTGCATGCTTGTTTGTTTCCCCTGCTGTTCTAATTGCAAATACAAGTCAAATGTAGATTTGAGGGACTGATCTCCCAAAATCTAGTTTCTGAAGTAAAACAAAAAAAATGAGACTTGAGGATGATCTGGTGACAGCACCAAGAGCTTTTAAGTTTACCACAAAACAAAATCCCACAAAGTTAGTAGCTACAGACATGTAAAGCCACAGTATTTTATTTAAAGTTGTTTGTCTTTTAATTCAAGCTCATGGCCGTACTGGCAAGATGAGTTCAATATGCCCAAAGTTTTGCTGCACTGTTTTGGACTTTTACCAGTTTACTGTTTATTCCTGGGGAGAGGAAGGGAGGGCAGGAAGGAAGACTGAGGAGCTTCCACTAGCCTTTAAAGTATGTAAGGAGCAGGAGCAGTTTAGCATCCTTAGAGATGGATTCGATGTTTCATTTCACTCTCTGCTAGGGTGAACTGACAGGTTAATTTTATGTAATTACTGTTTAGTTTTTAGTGAGAAAGTTCACTTTGATTATTTCAGATGCTACTGAGGGTAATTTTTCACAGCAATTCTTGTGAGATTTTTCCTATCTTCTTCTTTGTTAAAGTCAGTATTTTTAGGCTGGTTTTGTGATCCTCCAGTTTTTATCTTTGTTAGTTTTATTTGCTGAGGCCTCACAAGCCAAGCCTTGGTAGAGGTGGACATCCTACTACTAGCTATATATGATGTTACAAGCCTTTTTTTTCAATTTGGAGGCTGGAATCTCCTGAATCCTATTGTCCTGCACAAGAATACCGAAGAATATTGCCAGTATCAAATGTTGCTCTCTTGATCTTGAACATCAACAGAAAAATTGACTCTCAAAAGCTGATATTTATAGCCTTAAACATGATGAGGGGGTCAATTTTATGTAATACCTAATGGTTAGAGAAATGAGAGCTGAATTCTAGTACCTGCTCTGCAGTCTCAAGCAATCAGTTGGTTATTGTGCGAAAGATAACCTCCTACCTCTTCCTTCGTGCTAAGCATAGCTTCTTGAGTCAACGTGGATGTTGGTGCAGCTTAATTATATACGGACTTAAGTCCAAGTGAAAGCACTTACACTGCAGCACATAGCTGTCTGGCTAGGATTTGGGTGGATAGTTCTGTTGATAGGAAGTTTAGGTTCCTAATGGTAGCATAAAATTTTGAGATTAGTCAATGTTTCAGTCTGTGCTCTGATATTTTCTTTAAGGGAGAGCAAAGGAGTTTATACATTTCCACATTTTCTTTAGTTGGTGCGAGTTGGAGCAGTCCTGACTTTGCAGCTGCAGTCAGAGGGTGGGAGGGAATGTCCTGTCCCTCCTCTGGCACTAGCAGTTCTGTAGCTGGGAGATGAGCAGGTTCAGGAAATTGGCCTGTGCAAAATCTGATTCAGCCAGGGGAAGCAAGATGATAGCAGCCCCAACATACAACAGCCTCACTTTTATACAGCCAGATTCATACCATACTTTTCTCAATTTTTTTTTCTTTTTTGTAACTTAAAAAGTAAAAATAAAGCATGATATTATGTAAAAAGCATAAGCAGCATTATATTACAAGCCTTTTACGTGAACCCTTTTTTAACAAGTTCCATTGTGTTTTTCATAGGATATCACTGCTTTAACTGGTGTTCCAGATGAGCACATCAAAACCCGAAAAGTTCACATTTTTGTTCCAGCACGCAATGCAATGCAGGCAGGAGTTAACAATACAAAGAAATGGAAGATGGAATTTGATAACAGGGAGCGCTGGGAGAACCCTTTAATGGGCTGGGCATCTACGTGAGTAGTTACTGAATTTGGAAATACTTTTCTTCTATATTTGACTCTTACTAGTCATGTAAATTTTAAGTTTGAAATGTCCTTTTGATCTGTAAATCTACTTGTGTTTTAACAGTACTTACAATAAGTAGTTGGATTTGTTAGTCATATGTTTAATGATCTGTTATGTTTAAAAGCAGATTTTAGCTCACAACATTATCTTCTGGAAGAGTTTGAAAAATGTGTTAACAACCAGCGTTTTCAGCAGTGACATTTGTGGTGATGTTACTGTATGGCAGGATCAGGGAAAGAAGGTTATCTGTTACCTGAAGCAGTAAATCCTTCTCAGCTCCCAATTGCATCTTCTAAATTTGATTAAACATAAATGTAACAATACTTAGCTGCCGGATTTTGTTTTAACGAATTTTTATAAATACTGTGAAGATCTCAAATGAGGAGCTATAACTAATTTAAAAAAACAAAACCAAACCTACTTAAAATATTAGTTTGTTTCAATGTTGCTAATATTAGTAGTAAAAACTCTTAAATATGCCAAAATCCAAAACAGTACCAATCTTAGCTAAATATGCTATAATTTGGAGAAGTAAGTATAACTTGGATGCAGATAATTTTTCTTTTTTCCCCTATATGAATATACTACCTTCATTTTACAGTGTGGTTAGAATTCCTGTTATAAACTGTAAAACAGCAATTATTCTGACAAAACTGTAATTTTGATCTGAAGCTGTCTTGTTTGAGGCATAGTCAGAAAAGTTAAATTATTCTACATAGACAAAAATCAGCCATTAGAGATTATTTTTCAAACTTCAGAAGGGATATAATGTGTACTGAAAATTTCTGGATGCAGTTGTATTAGCACTTGCTATCAAAGTGTGAAAAAAACCTTAAAACTTAAATATGATATAATTTGAGGACTCATTTTTTGAGATTTATTAACATTCAAAATGTGGTCACAGGATTTTTTTGGGTTTTTTTTTCTTTATTTATAAAATAAATGTATCCATAAATATTTGTTCAAAATAACTCTGAAATCAAGTGTTCCTGTTACATTGGTTTCCCATAAACAATTGAGGAGGCTCACAACCTGTAACATCTTGGTTGTGTTGGTACTGCAAAGCATTAGGGATGTCAAGCGCAACTATCATTAGACACGAGAAAATACTGAATATGAATTAAAATATTATTTGTATTAAAATAGGCTGTTAAAATACCTGTTTTAAAACTTTAAGCCTGTATATAATAGTGACCTCATCTGAAGCACGTACTGGGGTTTTTCACCATTGCATTTTAAGCATATTTGAACTGCTGTTTCAGAGGATAAGATCTCAATGATTTAATGCATGTATGCCTTGGATGACTTGACTTACTGCAAGTAGCTACTACATTTAGCAAGTAGTGACCAGGTTGTTTCATGGGGCCTAAATGGATTAAGTGATAGACTCTAGACCAGCAATATGCCTTTCCCTCCTGCATGTGTGCCCCCCAAGTGTCTAGCCGCTAAAGAATGGTCTGTTTGTACCACTGCACAGATTATAACACTGTAGCAGGTGACAGGAACGCCTGCTTTAGTTCAGGTTGAATTTAACTTTTCTTATAATACGCCTTTGCTTTTCAGCTGATTTTAACCACACTAGATGAATTATTTTCTGAGTGGGATTTTGCATGATCTCAGCTGAAACAACGGCTCTTAACCTTTCTAAGTTACAACCATTTGTGCTGAATAAACCACCTAGAAAAATGAACCCTGTTATTAAGGGCTTAACTGTATTTTAAATTGTTCTGAACTGAGCTTATTGTGGGAATTTAAAAAGGAATGGCTGTTTTGAGTGAATCCATCTCTACATGCATTTTTATTTTGGGGTAAAGAAAGGAATATTTCCTGTGTAAGCAAGCTCCGGGTAGGCCAAAAGCAAGTGCTGAGAATTGGCACTGCTAGGTTAAGGTTTTGGTAAACTAATTTGTTAATTTTTTAAGGAATTCTCACAAAACTACTAGTGGACATTCTGGTGATTTCAAATTACCATTCAACACCCAGAAATACGTAAGAAGAATTTCTTCTCCTCAGATTTAATTGCTGCAAAGAACAGAAGTTTTCTGAGAAGCTTTCCCATTTGCTTTTGAATAATGTAATGGGATTAGTGGATTAGAGCCCTTCAGGGTCTAGGGATTAGAGCCCTTTTCCTCTGAACTCGATACACTTATTCACCTGTAGGTCTTTGCTATATTTCTGTCATTTTACAGTCTTGCTTGCTTTTTGGTTGCATTTGCTGTTTCTTGGATATAGGTTTTTTTCAGTGAAAATTATCCAGTTGTAGATATAAATAAAATAGACCTGTGGCCTTTTTTTTTTTTCAATTGAGAGGTTTCATCACAGGAATGTGTATGGCTGGTTCTTGAATACATCTTTTAATATAAAGCTGCAAATAAAGAAACATGGGAAATGCATGGTTTCCATTGTACAAGATCTGATAAGAGAACAAAATCTGGGAATCCCAGTTTGTAGCAATAGGTAACACAGTTTAGGGCAGGCATAGGAAATCCTGCAGCACTGCTGTTGCTGACACTGTCAGGACACCTGATAGCTGGCCATCCTGAATTCCAGTTAGCTCACAGATTATCACAAGCTTAAACACATGGATGGCTCATGTATGGAAAGAAACCAAAAAGCTGTGTTTAGATTGGATGAAAGATGATCCCCACGTGAAAACACAACAAATCATTTCTCCACAATCCTCATTTCCAGACTGCCTCTGTCCTGGAGGGTTTTCATCAAACTTGCAGTGCTGAAGAGGCACCAGTCCCTCACTACACTTCAGACTTAAACTTCTTTGTTCCCACTCAGTAGTGTTGAGAAGATTTTTCCGACACCAGTCGTGGAAGAGAAGAATGATAAGCAAAAGTTGTCACAGTATTGAGAGATATTTGGGTCACTTGATTCTCTGCTGATCACATCATGAGCTAATTCTTAGTTTCTAATTCTCCTTACTGCCTTTATACGAGAAATCTTTAAATGTCTGTAAGAAACCCCATCTTAGTGGCTTGTGAAAGTGTAATTTATGCTTTTATCCTGTTTTTTTCTATTTATTGGGGAATATATTTGATATATGGTGAACTCCATTTTTCCATGTGTACATCAGATAAAATTACATTGTTGTCTTTGCTGGAAACTAGATTCCTCCTGATCCCCTCCCCCTCCACCAGTCACAGTCATTGTCCTTTATTGGAGAGAGGTCAATGTATCTTTGGTTCCTTTTTCTCTTCATTTACGCTTCTAGCTTCAAAGAGAGAAGAGCTGAGAGGCAGCTCACTCAGTAGTTTGTTGCGATTTGGTCTTGTCTTCCCAGTTGTCTCCCAGGCTTGTGTGCACTATTGTCTCAGGGAAATATTATCTAATCATTGTGCTGCTACAACTGGTATGTTATTTCTCTAAAAGTTTTGTAGATTAATTTTTAGAACCCTATTTTTTGTTCATCCTTTGTAGTTGTTAAATTGGAACTTTTATAGCAACAAATAAGGCAGGTGTTTTTTTTTAACTTAGATTTTAATTTGTTTCAGAAGGCTTTTTGCTGTACAGTTGCTTTCAGACACATAGTTGAGGAATAGCTGATAATCTAAAACTAACCAGGGTCTATTCAGTTAGCTAGCAGTTTGCGTTTCTGAGCTTTGTTTTCACTGGTGACCTGCGATCTTACTGTACTGGAATAATTTGTGGAGGTCATGTGACCTCAGCCAAAGCTGAACTCTTGAATTTTTTTACGTTTTTTCTCTGATTAATTACTGCTCTGTTTAGTTTGATATTGATTCGAAGATCCGGTAGGAAAAACTTAACAGTACAATGTATACTGTTAAGCAGGTATTCTTTATTGCGGCGCTGGGCACACGGGGGATTTCTCCTCCAAACGTGCTCACCAGACACCCTGTTGCTTCAGGTTAAATACAATCACACATGTAAATATTCATTATATTTCTAGGAACTAATTAGCATATGTAAATATCTTTCATGCATGTCTGTTAGCATCTTTGGGTGGTCTTTGGGGGTCCCAAGATGAAGGCCCATCCTCTTCATCATGCTGTTCACTGATTGACATTTGTTTCTGCGCAAACTCAGTTCTAGCATCACGTATATCGTGTCCTTCAGGTTGTTTTGCTCCGGTCTTGTTGCTCTCTGGGTGCCTCCTTATCTCTGTAGCTTGGCGCATTTGCCCTCCCAAGGCCGAGCTGTCTGGAGTAGAATTATTTAGGAGTCTCTTTTATCCCACAGTTATCCCAATTATTTGCTGAGAACCAAGACCACTTTTGTTTCACCTAATTATTTTGTCTTAACAACTAAGTGATAGCTTGTGCCCATGTCCTTCCACTACATTCCTTAATGAGAAAACAGGGATTAGTGTAACAGTTACATCGTTAGATCGCTATGCATGCAGAAATACAAGTTACAGTACTAAAGACTACTAAAAACTAGAAAATATTAAGGTTTTTTTCTTATAGTTTCACGTTTCTTACAATCTTCTCTATCAATATGCTGCTCTTTTCTATATAAGATTATTCGTCTCCTAGCTGCTTTGCAGACTCCTGGTCTCCTTGAAATGTCCAAAATAACATTAAGCCTCCTGATCTTGCAAAAAGAGCTTTAAAAATCAAAAATATTGAGGCAGATAACTTTTTATAACCTCAGCAGGTGGTTAGACATATTTGTCTAATAGAAAACTTAAAATGTTAAGTTCTGGAAGGAGTTGGGAGGGAAGTTTTAACAGACTGAAGAGTGAAACAATACTCTGCAGAAAGTAGGTGTTAAACCTGTAAATAAGAAAAAATAGAGATTTTGAATGACTTGTGAGGTGTTGTGCTACAAAAAGTTGTGTAATACAGCATTTGGTTAGCATCTGAGATAGAGATATAATTGTTTTATATTTCAGATGTCCTTAAAATTTGTCATCTGATTTCTTACAGGGCTGATCCTTTATCCAACATGGTTCTTACTTTTTCAACTAAAGAAGATGCCATTGCCTTTGCTGAAAAAAACGGTATGTATTGTACGTATTGAGTATGAGTGATTCAGCTTTCTATGGGCAATCTTGATCTCAAAGTATTAACAACAGAAGTAGTACAGGATAAAGTGCCTTCCCTGTGTTCCACGAAATTGGTAAACCATTAGCGCTGTACTTGTGGAGGAGGTAAATGGGTAGGGAGAATATTTCCAAGGGTGCTGTAGACGTTGAATCTAGGCCTTCCACTTTCTAGAAAAGTGTTTCAGCCTCTGAGCATTACTGTTGCAATGCTTTTGCAATTAATTCTTTATGAGTGTCCCGGTCTGGGGGTCCCAGCTACACGGCAGTGGGATTTTTAGCTGAAGGCTTGACATGAACGTCTGAATTGTAGTTAGGAAATACTATCAGAACCCTTGTGAATGTTTGATAATTAGAAAAACTAAAATTAAGTGACTACCAAGTAAGCATTTTGGACTTCAGTTTTGGTCATGTTGCAGAATGGATTTATCATAGAATCACAGAATATCTCAAGTTGGAAGGGACCCAGGAGGATCATTGAGTCCAACTCCCTGTTTCTCGCAGGACTACCTAAAACTAAACCGTATGACGAAGAGCATTGTCCGGACGCTCCCTGAAGTCTGACAGGCTTGGTGCCATGACCACTGCTCCCAGGGAGCCTGTTCCAGTGACCAACCACCCTCTCGGTGAAGAACCTTGTCCTAATGCCCAGTCTGAACTGCCTCTGATGCAGCTTCATTCCATTTCCTCTTGTCCTGTCACTGATGACCAGAGAGAAGAGATCAGCAGCTCTAGTCCGCTGCTCCCCTTGAGGAAGTTGTAGATTGAGGAAGTTGTACCTAACTCTTCCCAAGTACCATACTAAAGTCTAAATCCTTACACTTGATGATTGTTCATATTTCAGAAAAAGATAGTAAAAAATCCAGTATCATTATTTAATATTTTGAATGTTGATGATGTATCGGAAGGACTGTGTCTGTAAAGTCATTTATTTATTTAGGCTTGTATTGTCTCACAGAATTATGGCACTGCAAGCAGTATCCATATTCTCAGCCTTTTCAGCAGTCCTTTTATGTGTTGCTATGAATTTTTTGCTACATTTCTGGAAAAATCAGTTTGATTTTCCTTAAAGAGCTAGTCTTGATGTTTAGGACTCCTGGATGTGAGGAAGATTGATTGCGCTGAGTTAAAGCCAGGAATAAGGCACATGGAGTGTAAGCCTCTTCAGAAGTCTTCCGTGTGGTCTACAGCTTTCAACTATGTTTAGTCTGGGGTAAATAGATAGTAAAGTTTCTTGGTCAGACCAAATTGAGGAAAGTTGTTACATGGCTTGTGTTGTATACCCAAAAAAACTGTATTGTTAAGAACCTCAGGTTTGACTTCTGCAAATCCTAGATATTGCAGGTATTTTGATACAATTGGGAAACCTAAGAATTCTTTATCACCTTAGAACTTCAGGAACTTGAGACAAGCTATCTTTCTGCCTGCCCCATCTGATGTGTTTTCTGATGTAGGAATAACTGCACTGAATACAGTAATGGGGGAGATCTCTGTCCAGCTGAGGATGGTCTGAAGTCAAGGCAAGGAGGAGACACTTGTAATGGGATGAAATTCAAAGTTTAGTCCATCAACCTAATTTCTTTTTTGTCCTGTCCAACATCACCGAGAGAGTTATTTAAAAACATACAGCTTTTGTAACAAAGATGAAGAGTTTTTCCACTCCACAATAACCTTTAGTCAGGTGATGAGAGTGTTCTTCCAGAGGCAATGAAATCTGCTTTGTATCCACTTGGCTTGTATGGCAGGGTTCTGGGCAAGAATGACTTTGCGCAGCATTGTAGTGTTTTTGTAAAAGTGATCTCTGCTCTCTGTCATGGACAACTGAAGGTGCGTGCCTCAAGGAGACTGTTCCAGAGCGTGAAACCTTATCACATATAGTGGTTCCTTGAAATCCAAAGTTAGATATAACTAACTTTGTGGATTTTGGGTAGCTGTGGCAGCCCAAGGCATTGTGCTGGTAGTTGCGAATCTCTTTTGGAGGCACTCAGCTCCTCTCTATCTAGTGTATAAAAAGATGAAGCAATAACGGGGCTGTAGATTCCACTCCAGCAGCCAAGTGCTTCAGAGTTAGGTGTTACAATGCTGGATGTTACAATACCAAAGCCTGTGTCTGGATCTAGTTCTGGCTGCTTACTCAAGCTTATATTTTTTTTCAGAACAGGATGCAAAAGCCAGTGCTCTTACAGATGGAAGGAGTATGTTTTTAAAACCTCTATTCCAGTATTTCTTACAGAGGATAGCTAACTTGGAAATTAAGATTAGTTTAGCCTAATAAAAATGACAATAATATTTGTGTGACATTTGTTAATATACAAAATTAAGGCACAGTGACATGACAATTTGTGTATCTTATGAACCATGTTTTGATGTGTAGATGTATCTTGAGTGTTTTCTGTGACCATCTTAAATGTAAAAATTTGGATATATGTTAAACATTTTAGGACTTACGAAGTTTTTGTTTGAAAACTAAGGAAGAAAAGTATCATGTTACTAGTATCTGTTAAAACTGTGTACTTAACCACTTCTAGCTTCAACTTAAGTATCTCAAGTTCAAGTGAAATGTTGCAGCTAAAGAGACCAAACTTTGGAATACTGAGTGCTGCCCTGGCAACTTTCCAGGCACCTGGAGGCTGCAACCAATTTGCATTTTGATTTACATAAACACTAATATCTCCACCTCCTCTTTTCTGACATTTTTTAGCATTTCTCTTGCTTAACTATCACATAATTTACTTGTCTTCTATCACTTCATTCCCTTTTCTTTTACTCCTGATTTTTTATGCTCTTATAAAAATGTTAAGTATTAAACTCGTTTCTGATGCTGAAGTTTTATCTTTGCTCTTGCTTTCTCTGGTCCTCCCACCCATCTTCTCCAGCTTTCTAAGGTCTCCATTCTCTCCCAGCCTTTGGGATTGATGTTCTGTGTGCTGGTTTCTTCCGTGTTTCCTTATCTTTATTTTAATTTCCTGTCCCAGCATACACAGAGCCTTAGTGCTTCTGTGATGCTGTTGAGTTGTGGAGCCACAAACTTGCAGGACAGTCAGTATTCTCTGTTGAGCTTTTCACTGGTAGCTGTCAAGTTTTTTGCAGGAGCAAAGAAAATGGAGATACGTAGTATGATGAAGTCTTATCAACTGAGAGAATGGGCATACGTCACATGTATGGCATTTCAGTATTCTCTGCTGCCAGCTACAATGGAATAAATTAGTGGATGCCTACGTGGGGAAAAAGATATTAAAGTGTAAAGGTTTAAGTTGCATTTGTTCTACATTGTATGCTGAGAATATTTAGAATTCTCTTTGTTTCCTGTCTCCCCCCACCATTCTCCCTGTAACCTCCAGGCTGGAGCTATGATGTTGAAGAGAAGAAGATTCCAAAACCTAAATCCAAGTCTTACGGTGCCAACTTTTCTTGGAACAAAAGAACAAGAGTGTCTACAAAATAGGCTGGCATTGGTTGTCTGACTGTGAATAAAGTCAGCTGTGCAATATTTATAGTCCATGTATAATACATCTCTTAATCTCATAATAAATTTGACCTTTAAACTACAAATGCATCTTGTGATGTCTATTTAAAATGTTTTTGATGTCTTCAGCTGAACCTGTTGCAATCTTCCCTATAAATAGAGGAGATTTGGAGCGTTCATACTTCTAAAAAATGGCTGTAGTAGGAATTTCTCAAAAAGAATGTTTGAAATCAACAGCAACTTGAAAGATTATGGTTTATCTTAGATGGTAATTTTACAGTCACTGTCTTGTTTAAAATTATCAGCCTTGCATGTACAAATTCTCTCAATAGAAACTGGGTTTTTTTCTTTTTCTATACAAGAGAAGTTTCTTAAATTAAGAGCAAAGTATGATATATAAAACTTAATACATTTGAGTATAACTTAAACTATTCTCTGTAAATGTATATTATATAACCTCCTTTCTGTGCAAATTAATATTGTCATTGTGCCAGAAGCGTTCATGATTGGAACAGAAAGTACTGGGTTTTGCGCTGGGTATGGGGAAGGTTTAGTCCAAAAGATTGAGATTGTAATTGTTTCTCTGTGATGTTCTTTGAAAGTGAAACTAAGTCAGTTAAATATTCACAAATTAAGTCAGAAGAATGTCGGGTGCCTCACACAGCATCAGCATATACTAATTATATAATTATAGTTCTGTTTCTTTATTGCTAGTTACATGTTTGTGTGCATTGAGGTTGACTGACAAGATGTGGTGACAGCATCTCAGCCTTAACATTGAGTATATAGCCCTGACTCAGTTTGTCTTACATGACATTGTCATTAATTTTAGTAATGCACAATATTGTGTTTAGAATGCTTGGTTACATATCTACAGCTTTTGATTTATTCACTTTAACTTTTACTTAACAATGAGATATCAACGCATGGACAGTGAAATCTATTACAAAATGGGGGAGGGTACACCTTTTTCATATCCAACTGAGAGTTTTATCCCCACTGTCACAAAAGAAACAGTTGAGACAGTTCTCTCCACATAGATCTAAAGAATGGTGTAAGTGCTATGCACTGTTATCTAGCTAAAAGAAGGCATAAAAAACTACCTTGTGTTGCCCAGATCTGATTATATTCTTGTTGCAGTTTTAACCAGCTGCCCTATAAACTGGCTAACACTTGTTTAAAGCATTGGTTTTGACCCAGTTTCACTATAATCTACCAGTTGGCTGATGTTGCTATTTTCCTATCACAGACAACTGTTCTCCAATTCATCTTTCTATTGAATTTTGAAGACTGTGTTGTGCAGAG